AACTTGATTATATTGGAAACATTGATTTTTTAGCTGAAGTATGCGTGTCCCTTTTTATAAGATGGAAAATTGCTGCTTCATTTTGAGGCATTTTGTTATTCCTAACTTAGATGGGTATATGCTGTATTCTATGCCAAATTTTAGGTCTTTTAACAGAGAACATCAGGATTCAAAAAGAAGATATCTTGGCCGATTTCTTAAAGAGCTTAACAGGTGGCCATCCAGGTAAACAGCTTCTAAATATTGATTGCCTCGAATTAGTTTAGACCTTGACTTCTAACTATCTAGTAGCATTCTGTTACCGTGCAGAGACAATGGTGGGAGTGCAAGTCAAAGCATGTAGACAAAGTTTAATTTTTCAAGGTATTGAAGACTACCATCTAATTTGCCATTCTTATTAGTAAAATTGTTTAACATTTCAGTTTTGTTGGAGCAGATTGGCTAATTTTATGAACTATTTGAAATGGATGCACATATTGGAGCAAAAGAACTGGATTTGCAATACATGAATGTACTAGTTGATCTGATTCTTTTAATTGCTAAGTGCTAGCTGCAACATGTTGAGTTTCTATGTTGGTCCTTGTTTTTCCGTTGAATTATTATATCGGATATTTTTTCTTTAGTATTTCTTGTTGATGTTTAGGATAGAAAAAATGAAGGAGAAGCAATTCTGTTATAATTTTCCACTGCTATTCTTTTTGCCTGTTAAAAGAGAGATTTATTGCAAATTCATCCATGCTATTTATTTCCATTTCCACCTTCAAATTAGTACTTGATGTCAGCTCACATTTTCAGGGGGAGCAAACTCATTGTGGATTTCCAGAGAGGAACTTCTCTGTGAAGAACACTTTAAAATATGCTCCCTTTGATCAATTGGACTTTGCACGTTCTGCAACTTACTGTCAAAAGAAATTGATCAATCTACTTGTATTTTTCCAGATTGAGGATGACTCTGAGTGCAGTGCATTCTTTTGTCTACTAGCTGAGCTAAGGCCAGTAGAAATTACAAACCCACTAAAACTTTCAGTAGCCAGTACTGAAACTGAGAGGAAATTGCTGAGGCATACAGGAAATCCCTTTATCAATTAGTTGGTTCCATTTGTGGAATTCTGGGATGCAGAGATTATGTGAAGTCAAAACCATCTATAGGAACATTGCTGAGGGATCAGCTTCTGAACTTGTGAATGATATGGGTTCTGATATTTTTGGGGAGAGAAGATAGATCAGGCTTCCTGAATGTACAATACCTCATGAAGGAGTTGATATGGAGTATGATGCTGCCTGAAGCAACAGCAGGAGTTGCTTCCAAATTCATTAGTAAGAATTTTGTCCAAATGCTTTGGTGTTTCAGTCCTTTAGTGCGTCCTAGCTTATTTCTAGTAAAGATTAACTAGCTGCTTTGTTGTGTAATTTGTTACAGATCACTTACATAACAGTTGGAAGCAAAGCATGGCTACTAGAAGTGCCAGAAAGCTTGCCAGAAAGCCAAAAAGGTAATATCACCATTGAATCCATGCTTTTCATTGTGTCACTTCCTTTGTGAATAATTTAAGATATTTGAACTAATCAAATACAGATATGTTGAACATATTAGCAATAGTCACTGGTAGTCTAATACAGTTAGACCATGCATTACTGTTGGTTATTGCCTTATACTTCTACTACGCGTCAACTATATGTGTGAGCAGATAGCATGCTTCCTGTTATTAGCATTCTAAGTCATTTGTTTTGTACCTTGTAAGAATTGCAGTGAAAACGACTAAAATTGCATGCAAGTGATATCATTTATAAGTGCAGGCTAATTCTCATTCAGCAGAAGAGAAATTGCTTTGTCCATTTTTTGGAACACAAAATTTTTCCTGTTCATTGTACTTGTCTTTGATCATTTCTTTTAACTTAGCAGTGATGGTTGATGCTTTCCTCAGCAACTTGGAATTCACTGGTGCCATTGGATGTTCTCTTCCCAATTTTGTCCTTCCTGAATTACATACATGATAATTTTTGCTTATCCCATTTTCTTGTTTCACTAACTCTATTAATGGCAAAGAATCGGTTCTTGAACATTTTGTTCACAGGTTTTGAACTGTGGATGTATGTTTTCAACTCATTATCACCATTTAGCTAGAGTTTAGAAAAATCCCAGGGAAACGTGCCTACTGCCAAATGGTACTGTTTTTGAAGTTGCTGCATATATTATCCTGGTGATATTATATTGCATATGGCATAATGGCTCTTGGTTTAGGAAATATCATACATTAGACAGGGTTTCCAAATTTCTTCCCCAAGTTTAATTTGACTTTTTATTTTTCTTCCCTATGTCATATGGAATGCCAAGTCAGGAATGAAGTTAGAGGAATGAAAAGGTCAAATTTCCCTAAGTGCCTGCCCCAAAAGCTACAGCATCAATGTTGCACGACTAGTTGGCATGGTTCTTTGCTGTTACATTACAAACTGACTGCCCATTAACTATGGTGCCCACAGCTCTTCTTCAAGGTAAAACTTGGAAAAATGTTCTTCACAAAATAATGGAAATTCTTAGAAGTAAATCTTTTGCAAATAAATTTCACATAGATGCTGTTGGCCCAAAATTTGCATGCATCTTATCAGGAACTTGAATGCGTCTGGCAAATAATTGATTTTGTATATGAAGAACCTGTCACGTGTTTTCCATGATAAACTTAAATATGTACTGGTTAAATTGTTTCAGGAATATGACTCTGTACTTGACTGCTTCGCCTAAGTTGCGTATGGAACACAGAAAGAGTTCTGAAAACAACTTCCAATAGAAACTTGTGCTAAAGAGATGGCGGTTCTCATTCAAGAGTTTGACTAATATCACAGCAAACTTTGAGTTCATTCAACTCTATTAAAGGCGTCAATATCAAGCCTTAGTCAGATCTTCAGCATAAAGCAAGACTACTTCTGCAGCAACACTGATGTACAAGAGGAACATATATATGATTTCATTGGGTACATAGAGGACTTCTATGCAGTGCTGGAGCATTCCACTTGAAGCAATTGATCAGGAATGGAACATTAGTAAATCACTGTCATCAAATTCCCAAAATTTCCTTAAATTGTAGCCTTTTTGTGTTTTCTAATTATTAGAAATTAGTTTCAACCCAGAAAGTGAAGGGTTGTTGGCCATACTGAAATTTTGAAATTTCAAGTAATCATCAAAACTGGGTTTGAAAGAAAATGCGCATTGGTTAAGAACTTAGGATTGCAGTGGTTAGTAAGGTCGTTAGCCTACCGAGTACCCTTCATTTTGAATCAAATAATCTTTCATCTTTCTACTTAATTGAAGACAATATACACAAGTTTTCTATTCATGCCCCAAGATTAGAGAATTTTGGGGAAGAAAAACATCAATGAATGCTGAACACATGAAAAATCGGCAAAAGCTACATCTACAACAAATTTTCCTGGAAAATGCAATTAGGACTACACCTCTGTATTTCGTGGTTGTTCGATATCTTCATCGTCTTCATCTTCAGAATTTGATGTGTCATTATCAGAATCCTAACATCCAAAGCAAAGAATGAGTTCTATTGCCTCAAATTCAAGTTGTGCCAAGAAATTAGGTTTCTATTAAATGGGAATAGAAAAGCAACTAACATGATATAATGGCGGTCGCCTAACACTGTTTTGAAGGGCTGTAATTATCTTCATAATCACCAACATTGGTAGTAAAATTCCAGTAATTCTAAAGGCAAGGACCTGTAAAACACCCCAAAATAATGTAATTAGTAAAATCAAAAGGGAAAAAATATATATATATATATATTGATATGGTAACAAGTTCAACATCAAGAGAACCATCTCTTACCGTAAGAAGTGTAAATGGGTATGCCTCTGTCTCACCAGAAAGCGTAGCAAAGATATGTTTCACAAGCAAAATGGCGGTCAACTGCCCAATTCATCATCATTAAAATGTTTAGTAACTAGTAAATGGCAGTATATTTGAATTAAAATAATTTGTTTTTTGATAAAACATTGCTTTGGGTTCAGTTAAAGACAAAACATCAATGCCAAAACTAGAGAATTCACGATCAATCAACTAATCTAATAATTAATTAAACATCAAACAAACTGTTATTGGTCGGTGGGTGATTTTCAGAGTTCGCTTTCAAGTTCTGTTGTAACAAATTCTAACTGATTTCAGGTTATTGATTGATCCACACCCTATACTAAAACAAAGCCTTACAGATTTTAAATAATACAACTCCAGGTGGTATCCACTCTCCACTTTACCTAAGAAATGGTCAACCAAAGTTTTAAATTATCAAATTAAGCAAACACATTCTCTGATTTACTTCCCTTACCAGACAATTATCACATTAAACTAATTTTGATCATAAAAATTAAGCAAAGTGGGAAAATGGGGATAATGGAACATACAGTTAAGGCCAGGGAGCGGCAGCAAGAGGCGCCTCTGTCTACAGAAGTGCATTGAGAAAATTGGTTTCCTTCTGCATCCAATTCTTCAACTATGGCCACCAATCTCTGCCTCTCTAGCTCCAATTCGCTTCTCGGAACTTGGAGGCTATCCCTGTCATCATCATTGCGCATGCTTATTAGTACATTACACAATTCTTAGGTGGTGGAAAACTTTTTCTGCCCTTCTCTGTTAATAATTTACCTGATGGTCACTGCTGCTTCAATCAACTGAGATTTTTTTGAAGGTGCCGTGTACCCAGGTCCATACTCCTGTATAATGTACAGGGGAGGATAAAGAGTTAAGAAAAAGAGACATCTGTAGATACCCAAAATTCGAAACAGGAAACCATAAAACAGGAAACCGATTGGGATAATAGCGACAAAATCAGCTATAATTTTTTATATCAAAATTCTAAAATAGGAAGAAACCGAGATAAGAAAAGTAGTTTTTCTCTGTTTTCTCCTTAAAAAAAAAAAATCTGATTCTAATTATTAGAAACTTGAATTTCAAACCTGGAGACAGATTTCACAAGTTGTGTTTCCCTTCTCGTTACACCATCTCTGTATACAATCTCTGTGCGCAAACTGAAAACAGGGAAAAAGAAAACAGAATAAAAACAAAAACCCAGAAAAAATTTCTCAGAACCAGAATCAGAAATCGAAGAACACGCCGTATAAGAGAATACGATATCTTCTCTCTTACCTTGACGGTACCGGAGCAAGCGCAGGGAGCTTCCAAGCTCTTGCAGCTTTCAAACTCTGCTTCGTGGCAAATTCTACAGTACGAAGCTGCAGAATTCACAGGAAAATCATCGGCGAACAACATAACGTCTCCCATCTTTCCCTTCAAATCTTGCTTTCTCCTTTTTTTTCTTTTTTCCTCTCTGATTCTGTTCTTGAATTTGAAATATGCTTTGTTTAATGTTTAAAAATTCCTTTCTCCCCTGTGCTGGCGTCCGTCTCTGCCCTCTCTCCCTGGAAACCGAACTTTTAATACAGGAATGGGGACTTGAAGTTCCAGAACTGCCCCTGTCCTTTTCTTTAATGGGAAAAAGATGAAGAAAATTTTTATTTTTGGTTTTCATTTTACGCTTTCCCTGAGGTGGAGCCAGTGGGGGCTTGACTTCTTCGCACACGCTTTAGAGAAAGCTGTAAGTTGAAGTCTTGGATGGTTGACCTGATTACATAATTTTATTAGAAAATTATTTTATCAAATAAATTGTATATAGTTTATTTTATAAAATTATTTAAATATTTTTAAATTTTATTTTATATTATATTTTAAAAATATTTAAATAATTTTATAAGATAAATTATATATAATTTACCTTATAAAATAATATTATATAATTTTATTAAAAGAATTATATCGTAAAGTATTAATCATCGAAATAAATTAAACTATAAAACAATAATAATTGGATGAAAGATTTTTTTTTAAAAAAAGTATCATGAGTTTAAACCCAACCCAAAAGACGAGAATTGCACTAAATAAGATGATAAGAGTTATTCAATCCAATAGATCAAGTATAATTGGATGAAAGATTTTAATTATTAATATTTTATAATTTGATATAATTAAAATGATAAACACACCAAACTTTATTTTATTTTATAAAATAATTATAAAAGAAGATTCGAGTTTAAAACGTTTTGTGCTTAGTCAAATTTTTTAACTAATACTCTCGGGTTCACGTTCTGAACTCCAACATACGTAAATATTACCCCAATTGTATCTTATAAGATTCATTGTTTATGGGTAAACCAAGGCTACATTGTAATTAAATGCAACTAATTATAATCAAGATGATAATTAAATCTTGAAGAAAATATTGAACCACATGTGTTCAGACAGACATTACATATATAGGATTTAGTATAAAATGATGATAAATAATATCATAAATATAAGTCTAAATGATAATTAAACTGAAAAAAAAAAAAAAAATCTTGAGCCACGCATGTACACGATAACACGAGACTAAAGAAATAGTGTTGGTGTTAATATTATAAGATTCTAGACACGCTTCCATTTGTACAAGTGTAACTTTAATTATCAATAGTTAAATTTTCAAATCATTAATTAAAATATCTTATAAAGAATATATTAGTGATTAAGAATTTAATTTTTATATTAAATATTTTAAATTTAAATCTCAAGATAGATGAAGAAAGTTTTAGAAAAAGAATGATCATCTTTTATTATATGATTTATTATTTGATATAAAAAAAAACGATGATTGAAATGATAATAGTATATTTAGTAGTGATATCTCAAATTATATATATATATATATATATATTGAACAATTTGACATGGGATTGAACCCGTTCAAGAGGAAAGGGTGCATTTATTCAATGTGACTACTGTTATTAGTTCACAAGGGTCAGGTGCGATATTTCAAATTATATATTGAATTTAAACGTATATAAAGACCAATAATTTAATTAAAATTTTCATGTATTTAAATAAATTCGAGTTTGTCATAATTACTCTGAAATAATATTATTTGTCTATTGATGTGTATATAATTATAAGAGATCTTGAAACTTTTTTTTTTTTTTTTGATCTTGAGATCTTGAACCTTAAAAAATGATTGAGTTCTATGGATGAGAAGCAAGTTACTTGGGTATGTGGCAAAATTGTGGTTTGTCATCTCCTTAATTTTATTCAATTTTTTGGTCATTTTTATTTTCATTGTTGTTATCACATCAAGAAACACAGTTTCCCAGTTTCTCGGGAGCCAATGCAATATTAAGTAATTTTGAGTTTTATAAGATGAAAGAGATTCCAAACAATCATTGCCTTACTATTAATGATCTATTAATTTGAGTAAAAAAAATTTAATTTTATTTATATATATTTTAAATTTAAATCTTGTGAATAAATAAATAAATATTAAAAGATTTTTTTTTAATAAAATTTGACATGTTTCAATTATGAATTAATCATAATTTAATATAATTTTTGCATAATAAGGGTGTAATAAGGAAAAAAAAAGGAAAAGAAAAAGAAAAACATGCCCTTATGTTCGCAGAATTATATATGTTAAACATTGACCCTGACAAATAAAACTGCAAAAACATGGCTTTATTCCACACCCGTTTTTTTTTTAAGATGAAAAGAACCAAACAAAGCATGCATTTTGTGCTTACTGAATTCTGCTAAATAACAGGGACCCTCACAATTTAAAGTTTAAACTTCAAAAAAGCATGGGATCATTATCACATCATCCTTCCTTTTGTTCATTAGTTTCTCCGAGAAAGCGAGTTTTCACATTTTAGTTCAAAATAACAACAAAAAGAAAGAAAAAAAAAAGGCTGTTAGTTTGGATGTCCCCATATATACATTCAAATTCAAAAACCCCACATTTAGGACCTGTGTAGTTGAGCGAACTTTTCCCCCAAGCTTTCCTTCTCTTTTTAAGGTTGTTTATATATTTTTATATGTTAATATTATAATAGAATTAATGTACAATAAAATTAATAAAGATAAGAATGATATTTTTAATTTTTATTTTTTTGACCCAATTTCAATCAATAAATTTTTTTCTCACATTTCTATTAAAAAAAGTTTCCTCCAACTTCCTATGTAAATTCACCTGATCATTTTTCTATTAATTTTTTATATTAATTTTTTACTAAATACAAAAAATTAATAACCCAATAAAATTTTAATAAAACTTCTTATCAACTTTTTATATAACTTTTTATCAAATCTCCACATAATATTTCCCTAACCATCTTTTCAATAATTTTTTTTTTCAATAAACTTGGTTTTTAACCAAAGAACCTCTTAATTACTTTCAAGAACAGTGATTACCTAAATTAAAATTATTTTTACAAATTTTTTTTTTGGTACATAAAGGAGGGTTATTTTTACAAATTTAGATTGAAAGAAACTTCTCTCATTTCTTAAATACTGTTTATATGCTTTTGCAATTATCTTTTAATTTTAAATTTTTACTTTTTGTATAGTATTAATCTAATTAAAAGAAAATTCATAATTTTATAATTTAAATTATATCAAATTACAAAATCAAAATTATTAAATAAAAAACAACCTACGATCCTTTCCTAGGTAGCTTTGTGTGGTGTATGGTGTGTGGTATCCCATTAAGTGGGAACAATAGAAAAACATTTCCCTCAAAAGAATGTCCTTCATGCCAATATTTATTTTATGTAGAAAGATAGTAGGCTATTTCTTCATCTTTTCTTACTCTAAGGAAAGTAGGGGCAGGGATGTAATTTCATATTTGAAAATTATTGTATTAAGCATTATTAATGAAGGATAGCGTCTCTTCTATGGTCCGTCTGTATGGGATTGAAATCTCTGCTATCCCGGTTTGAATTGAGAACGTCGGATCGGTAATCAACGGCTCTTAAGCAAACAGAAATTTAAAATTAAGGGCCCCATCCTAGCAACGCCTAAAGGAAATTCAAAAAACGCGGCCTCACCGAAAAACATGAGACGCTCCGATTCGATGGGCCCCTTTTTCTGACGCTTGATGGTGTCCCTTCCTCTCATCCAATATTTTCCAGAGCAGTACTAAGGGCACTCGCCTCTTGCACTCTCCGGCCAGCACTTTCACTCTTATTGGACCACGTTATTTTCGTTGGTAAGAGATTGCGGTTTAAAGCCTAAACATGCTTACGTGGCCCAATGAAAGGGAAAGTGTGGCCGGAGAGTGCAAGAGGAGAGTGCCCCTGGCACTTCTCTATTATCCTTTTTGAACTCTAAATACCGTTTGGGGGTATTATTATTATTATTATTTAATGAAAATTTTAAAATTTTTGACATTTTAACTATCTAACCGGATTAAGTTTTGTTTATAAATTTAAATATTAAATTACTTCATTTATTTTAAAATAATGAATATTTTTTAATTTTATTTTTAAATTAAAAATTTAAAGATAATTTTTATTTTTTTATCTATTTTATCTTTAAAAAATAAATAATTATTTTAATTGAAAAATAAATAACTAAAGTTAAAAAATAATTTTAAGGTTAAAGTAAAAATTTTTTTTGTCTCTCTTAAAAATTTAAAAAATAATTATTATTCTAAAACAAATTCTAAATTAAAAAAATGTATATTATTCTAAAATAGAGAGAGTATTTATCTTGCAAAATTTTACTTTATCAAATTAGAAGAGTATTTTATTAGTTTAACAACCTTATAAATTTCATTCACCCAAAAAAACAAACCTCTTAAATTTTTAAGGGTATTAGGTATGATCTAAAAATGGCATTGTTTTGAATGCTCAAATCAAAGTGTTTTCTCAAAATTTTTTTAATGAAAGCACTAATTTTAATATAAAGTTATAGTATTGAAGATGACATTATATAAATTATTAAACAAAATTTAGGATTAAAAATAAATAAATATTTTTTTCAATCATTAAAAGAGTGCTATTAATCTCAGCTCGTAAACTTTTTAAAAATTTAAAGAGTGTTTACTAACCTTAACTGTTAATTTTTTTTTAAATTTTATTATGTATAATTTAAAGGACAGTATTTTAGATGTTTCTATAGTTTGTGCAAAAGTTTGAATACTTGAAAAAAATACTTAAGTTTATAATTTGTACTCAAATAGATTGCCGAAAAAATAGTTGGTAAGTCATAAATCAAATTTTATTAAATTAATTATTCTTATTAATTTTTTAAAATAATTTATTAAAGAATGGGTTCGAAACCCACCCATATAAAAAGAGAAATACACCTCAAATAAACAAGATGCCAATTAATTCGAAAGCCAGGTGCATTCTTATTATTTTTCTTGATAATCGATATTTAACATTGTTTCATAGCTGACATTTTATGCTTATCTTTTCTTTGATCTTATCCTCTTCATTTTCCTTTTCACAAAATTTCTCCTTTTTTTATTATTTATTTATAAATTATTTATAAGTCTACATTTGGAATTTGGAATCTTCCGATATTGCGTGGTGAAGAATAATTGGAGAGCCAACAATTGGCAATTTGGGACTGAATTGAAAGCTTTAAGTTAGTGGTCGGTCCGGTGGGGACAGCAATATCGATCTGGCAGGATCAATTTGGCGGATCACAGCCGTCAACACGGTGAGACTGAGGCGGCCAGTGCAGTACACATGTAAGACAGCAAATCGGAGCTGGAAACGTAGTTTAGCCGGCGGAGCCGGGGAGCGGAAGAGAAGAGACCAACTTAACTTAACTTAACTTAAACCAACTTGGCACGTGTTTTTCTTCATTAATCTCAATTTTCAAATGATTGATCAAAAGGAGCTCCATGGCGCTTTATAGGATGCGTGTGGCGTCGTAACTAAGACTTAAGAGTTTTTTTTTATGTAATTGTATAATATTTTTAGATATAT